ATGCAGCTAGATTTTGTTTGTCCTTCTTAGGTATGCTTTCATGAATACCCTTTTTCTTTGGGTTTGAAATACCCCTTTCCAGGAATCGTATTTGAGTTTTTTGAAACCACAAACATTTCATATATCCAAGTTATGTCTTTCATATAGAGGATCCTATTTAGGACCAATAAGTTAAACTAATCCTATGATCTAGGCATAGACGTTGCTATATTGGCTCATGTTTATGAACTCTCCATATTCGGGAATTCCTATTTCTTGTTCAAGCTCAAACCCAACAAATCTCCACTCATTCTAAAATCAAAATACAATGACGGAGCCTGGAAAGAGAAGTATTTTTTGTTAGGCGTTATACTATTCCTAACAGGGATCTCCTGCCAAAGATCTGGGTTAAAAAGGGTAGGATTTACTAATTAGTTGCAAGGACCCTAAAATTCACTTTCTTATTTTGTTTATTGAGATGTAGGATTTAAATTTGAAGAGATTGCTCCTCCCGTCGAGGATACTGAATAGAAGGTCGCAAACTTCCTCACTTTGTCTGTAGCTGATAGGTCTTTCAAGCTCGAGCACTCCAGTCTCCAAGAGGGCTCTTCTACCACTACTTCAATGGCTACCGATAATGATTCTGCATTTTTCCTATTATCTACTTCATTTTTGAGATCTCAAACTGATGGGGATCCTTGATATAAGATCCAAATGGTGAGATCTCAAACTAATGCAAAGCCGCTGAAGGTAGGAGGAAAGGAGGAAGAAACAGAGAAGGTTCCCAATGGTGATTATGAAACTATGTTTGATTATTTAAAAATAATTTTAGTATTTTGGATGTAAGATAATTAACTTTTTCTCTTTTGATAGGGTTTGTGGGCAACCCTTTTTTTTCAAGCTATGGTTGTTTTATTTCTTCTTGCATGATCGTTGTGGTTGTAGCAATAGGTTTTATGAGGATCATTGGATGATTAGGATCCTAAAGAGTTTAGATTTTACAAGAACTCTTAGGATCTTAATAACATGAAATGGTCAGTCACATGCTAAGGAATTTGAAACAATCAAGATCCTTATAAAGATAAACCTTTAGTTAGAATATAAAAAGATAGTTTTTAAGAAACAAAGATAGATAGAGCCTGTCGATCATTTGGTTTTGGTATAGATCTTGAAGCTTGTGTAGGGAAGGATCCATCTCAACATAATCCGGCTTAGGAATTTGATACAGGGAATCCTTATTTAGATTCTGCTAAAAAAAAAAAATCCAATTTTAGGAAATATTCGGGAAAATCCCAACTTAGAAAAGTATTTGGGGAGGATCCCAACTTAGAAAATAATTAGAGAAGATCCCAATTTAGAAAATAACGGGGGAAGATCGTAACTTAGAAAATAACTGAGGAAGATCCCAACTTAAGATATTCAATGGGGAAGATCTCAACTTAGAAATTCACTAAGGAAGATCCCAACTTAAGGTATTAACCGGAGTAAGATCTTGCCTCACCCCGACCACCATTGGAAACGCCAAGGTGCGTGACGTAAATTAGTGATCACAGTTATTGAACATACATTGAAGAATACAAATATAATCTTCTATTATTACCGAAATAGAAATTACATGGAAAATAACTATCACTAAATCGTGACACATGCCTAACAACCGATGTTTACAAAGGTGTAGTTAAACAATGGATAGTCTTATATGAAAATCCTTCCAACCTACTAATAAACCTACACATGCATTAAGATACGTTAATAAAAATTATTGGTGAGTTCTACAGGTTTTGACACAAAGTATTTTTATAACCAAAAGTGTTTAATAAACTTTATCTGGTGACCCAATTTTTATAAATACGTACTTTTCTATCAAAAGTATAAGATAATTGCGTTATAAAAATGTATTTGGTCTCATTTAGAAACATCATGTGTTCAAATCTAAAATTTCAAAATTTGACAAAATACATATAAGTAAGTCAAACTTATATAAAAAATTATATGGTTCTCATGACAAAAATGCTTTATATATAAGGATTTCGAGTGCCAATTTATATAAAATAAAGTCATATCTCATCTTGTGAAAACATAAAATTACCAAATTTACTATAGAAATATTGTACAAGCCTTTGTATAGTTTATATGTAAAACTCATAAGTTTCAAATTTATAAACTTTGTAAATTTGTGTCGTAGGTTTATAAACAAAGGGTTTATATGACTAACTTATTAACTGTAAGTTATTAAACCTTAATCAATACTGTCGTGATATTAATTAAGTGTTATATGACTTAATTTATGGTATTGATACTTATAGTTTTGAGTCACAAACTATTCCACTGAATACAAACTCTTTTAACTAAAATAAGTGAACAAAAACCCCGTATAAACCTAATATCAATTCTATACAGTAACAACGAAAATCTGGGATCTATAATGAACTCATAAATGAACTGCGACAAACACCTTTGCACCAACACAAAAGGAGCAAACTAAAAGTTCCACACGACTAACATGTGCGTGCTAAAAGTTCCATATCAATGCTTTATCAACTTTGTGTAGTAAATAGTGTCGAAATGTCAACGCCAAACTAGTCTCGTCAAGCGATGGTTGTAGCTAACAACATGTGGGCGGGAGTAAACCCATATAGATCAGTGTCATCGATCTATACCTGACGTTCCATGTTCCATATGGATTAATGGTTATAACACAGAGGACCAAGGATACTGTTAATGAAGGGAGAATTATAGTTCTTGTTCTACCTTTTTCGGCTAACGACCCTCTACCGATCAAGGAAGCGGTGGGTGAGAGTGGACACCCATTAAGTTGCCATTTTATAGGCAACAACCTTATACCCCCCTTATAGATCGGCTTCGTGAATGAGGTCTACTAATGGTAAGACAACTTGCTCTTATATATATATATATATATATATATATATATATATATATATATATATATATATTAACTTATAATATTATAATAGTATAAGGGTTAATTTTTAATTCTTTAAAATTCTAAGGGCTTAATTTGGAATTAAAGTATACATAAAAGAAAACTTTTCAATTCCATAACATATGTGTTTAAAGTAGTTTTAATTAAAAAAACTCTTCAAGTTCCATAACTTGAGGACAAGTTATGGAAGACTTTAAACTAATTTAGAAAGTGACTCTTCATAATTCATAACTTGTGGAAGTTTTTCTTTTCTCATACCTTATGATTTAATGGCTTATTAAAATGAGTGACTTTTCATTTTATGTAACCATTGTGTTCCTTTAATGGATTAAATAACTTGTGACTTTTGGTTATCCATAAATTGAGGACAAGTTATGGAATCCATTAAAACACATAATGATCAAGAATTAAACTACCAAGAAGGTTACAAATAATTCTTATGATCATCAAAAATCATAAGTTCAAGAACATGCATATCAACAATTTCAAGAATCATAAAATTAACCATATAAAAACTTGAAATTTTGATAACAACTCTGAAATTGGTTTACCATAATCATTATCACATCAAAAAATAGTTTCTATAAGTCCAAAATAGTTTAAGATAATGATTCTAGACCAATTCCAGCACCAAAACTCGAATATAAGCTGTCAGGGGGTCCAACTCGTCGAGTGCATGAACCAACTCGCCGGTTTGGATGAGTTTTTCCTTGGACTCGTCGAGTCCATGAGGGAACTCGGCGACTCCACTGCCCAGACAACACAAAAACTTCAATTTTTCATCAATTACATCAAGTATTCAGGAAAACAAGCCTAGGCTCTAATACCACTGTTGGGTTTTTGAGCATTCTAATACTCCTATGGTGTACATGCAACCCTAAATACCTTGGATCTATGTTTTCTCTAATATACATGCAAATACTAATATTCCAAGGTATTACCTTATCTAGCATACAATCATAGATACTTGGGTAATAATATAGATAGAATACATACCTCTTGTAGTGTAGCTTGACTCCATGGGGATTGAGTGCCTAGTGCCTCAAATGTGACACCTCAAATGGCTCACACAACATCAAATGCTCTTGGAATAACTTAGAGAGAAATCCACACTTCATGAAATCGGCTATCCCTTCTTTTACACACACTAGTGGCTGATTTTGGTGAATAATATGATGCTTATATAATGTGTTACAATTAGGGTTACACCATGTAAACCCTAATTGTCATGACCTTTCATTTCCATGACCCATAGGTTATGTAACCTCCATGGAGCATCCATGGAGCATCCTATGGGTTTAACCCAACTTGATTATCCATGGAGCTTTGGCCCACTATATAAGTTATGGATGATTTACACAATCAACCCATATATTTAATTAGTCTTCTTTTGATCACATAATTAATTCTAAATTAATTCTTGATCAATACTAATTAAATATTATTACTCTTATTATTAACATATTAGAACTTATAATATATTAATAACCATAAGTGTCTTATTTCTCTCATTTAGTCTATCCAAGTGCACGATGCCATGCAACCCAAATGGACCATGCAAGGTCAGGTCAAGTACATACCAAATATAGTTATGGACTTAGACATTAATCCAACAGTAACTCCACCACTCAATGATTGTGTTCATTCTCCTCCTTCCTCACCAAAAATAACCACGTCTACACCAATTACTATTGCATCTTGTCTTCCACCTGTTTCATCTCAACCACCGACATCTATTCCAGTTTCAATCCCTATTTTCACAGATTTCACCATTCACCCCAAGCCTCTACTGCACCTGTAAGTTCAGTTAACGTATCTGATACGCGGGCTAACATTTCAGGTTTTTTCAAGCCATGTTACTCCACCCATCTCTCCCATTTGCACCGATGACCTAAACATGATTTTTGAAGATGATAAAGATGATATGGGCGGATTCACTTACAATCCTTTTCAAATCAGGATTAATAGTGAAGATGAAGCCTCTGCTACGAAACGGGAACTCAAGTCTCTTCATGAGAAGATAGACTAGCTGATTCTCGCATCCAAAGCTTCTTCTTCTGAGGCTTACTCCAAAGCAATGGTTGAGTCCATTCTTGAGCGGTTCACAAAGGAACATGTAGCTAACGCCTCTACTATGACCAAGGAAATTTCTGACTCAGCTGATGTCTGTAAATCCTTGACCAAAAAAGTTGAAAAACTAACTGCTGACACCATAGAGTTTATGGAGGATTACAAGAATACCTACAACTCCAACATTGTCACTACGAACAAGGCTATTCAGAATGTTGGTGCCATGTTTAAAGCAGAAAAGGAAAACTTTGTTGAACTTCGCAAGGAGTTTTAGTCTGATAATGAAGCATTACAGTCTTCCATTAATGCGAATATCTCAAAACTTCAGTAGGATCTGGCGATGGAGAACAAAATAATGGATGCTCTTGCCATCAAAGAAGAAAAATGTAAAGTGTTGGAAACACAACTTCACTACACTGAGAAGCAAGTTGATGATTTGCAATCGGAGAAGGCTGTCACTAGAAGTTGTATCTCTAACGTTACTGGACTGCTCTCTAATATCATTGAGACTCGTGAGCCCATGAACTCCATCACTGTAAAGAAGCATCTAGTTGAGAAGCTACACCCAATATTCGCTATGTTACACCATTTGGAATATGTTTCGAAACCGGTGTCATTTTCGCAACAAGGGGGAGAAATGTGGCTCCAAAGTTCAATCGAATGAACCCCCTAAAGCTCCAGTCAACCCTCTCGTTATTAAGAAAGAAACCAAGTGTAAAGAAAAGCTATTTAACGATGAACCCATTATCGATGATGAAGGAGACAAAGACCCTGATGAAGCTAAGCTTAAAAGGCATAAGGCTCGTGAGGCAGAGTTGGATGAACATGCTTGCATCGTCAGAGAGGCAGAAGAAAAGGAAAAGGCTAAAAAAGAAGCTCAAGTCACACTCAAAATCCGAATGATGCTATTTCCAAAGTGGACCCTTAAGCGAATTCAGAATGAGGTTGTGGATCTACCGGGCCAATGTTGGTTGGATCCAGTTGCATCCTTTGATGTTCAAAATTCTCAGGATTCCCAGTTGGATCTTCCACTTGCTCTAAAGGCCTTTAGGTATCGTGCCTTCGTAAAGTTTGTTGATGCACTTCTCACAGACAGCAAGGCTGGTCAGATGTTGTTTGCCTTTTACTTGAAGCACATGAAGCCTCAACATGAGAACTGGAGTATTCACAAGATTATCGCTGTGAAAGTCACTAGGCTGATCGAGACTGAAAGCTTCTCTAATGAGAAGTTTAAAGTTGGGAGAGGATCATCATGTCAAGCCTACGAATTCACACTCGCAGACCTACCCTGCCTGAACCCCCATGACTGGATAGTGCTATACAACATGTTGCTAAGAGCAAAGGAGAAGTACAGACCTTTGATGATCCTTCTCCAACTTATGATCAAGTCATATATTTAGGAGGTTGGAACGATGGATGTGGATATTGCCATAATTTTGAGGACGAAACCAAGTGCTTTTCCTAAGGAAGCTCCGAATAACTTCTAGTAGCTCAAACCATGAACAATTTACAAAGAATGATGGTTTGTAGTGTACATGTCTAGAGATCATCCAGGAGCAGAACTTCAGAAGCTATATTTTCATCTTGAAGATAAACACCTGTATACTACTACTTGTCTGGAGTTTATTTTGGAGCTGGTTACGAAGTTCAAGGGAAACCATAAGGATGACATGAAATGTTTCTCTGATATGTTCACATGGTATATCCAGGTTCACAAGCTATTACTGAGATTCATTCCCAAGATCTACGAAGTGCAGAAGCAAATCAAGAATTGAAGGGCTATGATCTCAATTGACGCAAAGGGGGAGATTGATGAAGATTAAGTGTTACGTCATCGGGCCTGTTTTGTTTAGTCTATTTTGTACAAATGAGTTGGGCCTGTCCACTCGTATTTACTGCTAGGGTTATAGTATATAAGGTGCATGCATGCTACGTATTTTAGTCAAAATTTGATATTATCTTTGTAACCCTATTTTACGCCTCTACAGAAGCAATTCTTTGTCGAGTTCTTCTGAGGCGTGACTGTTAATCATTCAACATCAGTTTGATCATATGGTGTTCTTATTTACCTTTTTTAATCTATTCTATCTTTAAGGATTTCATCCTAACAATTGGTATCAGAGCAGGAGGATGTGTACTCATTATGCAACTCTGTTGTTTGAAGAAATTATTAGGGTTTCTACAAATATTGGATTTATTAGATCTGTCACTAATTTATTGACGTTGCTCTGTGATCTTAATATTAACCTAATAAGTGTTTACAGTCTGATTAATTACAGGTATTAAAAGGATTATTCACCATGTAGAACGACGATGCAAACATCAACTCCTTGAATATCTCAAGCAACATTAGATCCACAACCAGGATCCCAATTCTTTTTCCTCAAGAATATGAAGGTCCGTTTGTTCACACAGAGACCAAATGAAAAACCAAAACCGAGAAAGAATATAACCAACTCCTTCTTGATGTGAAGGACGTTCCTCAAGACGAAAGAGACAAACTTATGAGCAATATTAAAGGAATGAGAATCATCAGATTTTATTTGCAAGAAGATACTTTCTGTCTTGTTAGTTCTTGTGACACATCGAAGGACATATGGGATAGGCTGAAAGAGCTCTACTCTACCGATGCAGACCTGGAGCACTCGAATCAAAAGCTTTTGCTATCTAAGTTTGGCGAGTTTGTTCAAAATCCCGAAGAATCTCTGAGTTCCATGTTCAATCGATACAATCATCATCTCAGCAAGATGATGAAACATGGGATTGGACGCAAACTGATCGAGCAAAAGGTTATGTTAATGAACCGACTACGATCAAAATGGAAGGCAGTGGTGTCAACTGTCAAAGCTCACGAACTGTTCAAGAGCTACACTCTTACGAAACTTGTAGGTATACTGGAGGTGCAGGAGTGTTAAGTAACGAAGGAAGTGAAGGTGGTATTCGAAATGGGATCTCTTGCCCTAGTTGCGAAGGGTAAGAATACTGTTGATGACGGGTCTGATTCAGATCACTCTTAGTATGAACTCTCAAGTGAAGAATTCGCTTTGATGGTTTCTAACCCTAAGTGTTTTGCTAAGAAGAAGTTTCCCTCAATGAAAAACAGAAATTGGCAGGGAAGCTATAACTCAAAAAAGGTGAAAGAGGAGAACAAAAGTGGTTTACAGAAAGAGGAAGAGAAGACGGAAAAAAATTAACTGGTGACTCCGGATACGATTGCAATTATTGTCATGGCAAAAATCATATTGCCAAGGAATATATGCTGCGAAGGATGAATGAGAAGAATGAAGGAGAAGATGAGGAGGCTTATCATCTACGAGAGCTGGAGGAGATTAAGAAGAAGAAATCCAATGATAATTCCATGCCTGCTTTTATTGCATAGGAAAACTTGGCTCAAGGTGAGTTCGGAGGAGTGGAAGTCTGGTTGACAGACTCAGAGGATGAAGAAGTGTGCAAGCCTACACATAGAAGGGCGTTCGTTGCGAAAGAGCAGAATTCGTAGTATTCTGGAAGATGCTTGATGGTGGATCGCAGATGAAGGAGAATGCAAGCGGGAGTGGAAGGAGCGATAATAGCTGTTTCGCAGCACGACCTGTCTCAGAACAGATCAATGAATGCGAACAGCTGATTAATAAGGTAAATTCCATTCTTGAATATCATAATTGTAACACCGTAAATTTCAAAAAAAAAATTTCAATTTTCTTATAAACATAATTCGATTAATATTCATCAAACAACCATATTAATTATCCAATATAGATCAATACAAAATCCCAAGATCACAATATAAAAACTCCGAGTGTGTGTGTACGGATCAAGTCGGCGCCTTCCCGCGGTCGTCACTAGTACCTGAAACAATAACATCAAACACTGTAAGCACAAGGCTTAGTGAGTTCCCCAAAATACCACATATAACACATATTAGCCACTCGAGGCTACAACTCTGTGGGTCCGTGCACCCAAACTCTGTGAACCCTCAGGTTCTAGCTCTGATAAACATGCACCACATAAATCACATAGAAATAATGCAGTACAACACATAACATACATAGCATACAAATACTCTATCACATAACTCTGATTACCTACTCAAGGTAAGGTATAGTGAGAAGACTCACCTCGCGTATCTCGGTATCTCACGAATCCTGAAAATCCCTCGTGCTCGATCCTCCGAGCTCTAATCCTCCTATAACATTATATATCTCTAATTAACACTTTATATCACTAAGGTTGACTATCCCTAAGAAGTCAACACAGGTCAACTCTGGTCAACGGTCAACGATCAACTTTGACCGGACTCGGCGAGTGCTACAGCGACTCGGCGAGTCTAGACGTTTTCACCAACCCTCTGAAATTCCCTTACTACACGTCGAGTATCCCCCCCTTACTCGACGAGTTTCACCTAAAAGAATCGCGGGGCTACCCCGACTTAACTCGCCGAGTCTCAAGAACAACTCGACGAGTCCCAGTTTGACTCAGTCCACTCGTCATCCCTCTCCATCTCACCCTGACTCACTGAGTCTACCCATGACTCGATTAGACCACTCACTGAGCAATCCCAAGGCAATCTTCAAACTACTCGCTGAGTATGATGAACAGACTCGGCGAGTCCATGCCATGCAACCACTCCAACTTGCTTCTAAGGTCAGATCTGCTTCCACAATCTATAGATCTGGCCTCCCTAGACTGATTCATCACGTAAAGCTTCTATCTTGGTGCCCATAACACACCCCATGGCTAATAAATGGAGTTTTGACCTAAGGCATGAGGATTCCAATCCAAAGCCTCCATTGATTCCCAAAAAGCTTGGGTAAAGGGACACTCTGGACCTCTAAGGGTCCAGATCTATGGTTCAAACCTCATAAGGGACCAAGAGGACACTAGATCTTGCCATAAAAGGGTTCAACAAACCCTAAATCTAGATAAACAACAACAAGGAAGAAGATAACTCGAAATTATTATCACAATAGTGATGCTCTGGACTCCAAACCCTCAGAAGTGGCTCCACTTGCTTTCCCTTGGCTAGTTCTTCTTCTTCCTTGCAACAATGACACTTCCAAGATCAATAATAGCCTCCTACTTAGCTCCAAATGCACACACTCGATTAGGGTTTCACTCAAGGGACTGGTGAGCACAAATGACGGCCATTAGGCCCTTTAAATAGGTCTCAAACCCGAGAAATTAGGGTTTCATTACACAGCGCTGACTCGCCGAGTCCATATCCTGGACTCGCCGAGTCCAGGCGCGATCCCGCGACCAGATCCGCGTCCCTACTCGGCGAGTCTGAGCTCCAACTCGCCGAGTCCCCTCTCAAATCACCAAAAATACAATTATACAAGATACCTGAAAAATCCGGCTGTTACAATAATATTCATGTATCAAGATACGAAACATAATTTAATGATCTAAAATTCACCTTTTCAAGTATAAGTGATAGTCTAAAACTAACCTAGTTATCAAACTCTAACCTAACCAATCAATTGAGCAGGGCAACATCCAAGAGTGAGGAGAGACGTTTGTGGATTCAGAAGATTGAGTCGGATTTGTCTAAGTCTAGGGATGAATCTATTTATTTGCAGAGAGATAATTTAAAGCTTTTAAAACAACAAAACATTTTTTGTTTGATTGCAAAAAGACTTTACTTTAATATCACTCAACTACACCGTGATTGTGAAATTGGTCAGAAAATCCATAAAATGATTTTTCCATTTCTCAAATTAAAGGAAGACGAAATAGACGCAAACTGCTACAAATGCAAATCTATTGTTTCTTCTGAAGAAACTTCTGACGCATATAAATTTGGACTTGAATGAATTGAAAATTACATTGAGTCCAAGGACCACAAAAACATGTTGAAACAAATTTGGAATGAGAATGATAAAAAACAGATCAAATCTGATACTATGCAAAAATTTGATTCATTGAATGCCAAATTGCATTCAGAAAATAAATTAAATGTTGAAAGCACTTCTGAATTCGATGAGGACAGTGATATGAGTGAGATTTCTATAGAGGATGAAATTGACTGCTCAGAGTTTGTTAAAAATAAATCTCAACCTGCGAAAGCTCTTGTTTCTGAAAAAAATTCTTGAGTTCGCACGTGTTGTCCAAAACAAACCTGAAATTCTGAAAGAAAAAGAAACAGTCTTTCCAAAGGTTCAAACAACGCCCAATCAAGTTTTTAAAGTCCATGGAGTAACCGAAAATCAAACTGTCGAACTAAAGACCATTTTCGACGAAGACAACAAAGACAGATGCGATGAATTCTTCTGGTCAGCTCCCATAGATAATGTTAACGTAACTGTTGGCTTATCTGAAAGGACTTCCTGGAAAGTCAAAGGAAGGTACGTAGTTGAACCCATAAATAATCACTCAACATTTGCAAAAGGTAGCCCTAGTGGTA